GTCAGGGTAAAAGAGAGCCAGTGGAAAAGTGAACTAGCTGGAGTCAGGTAAACGGTAGATCAATAGAACAGGTAAACAGGACAGAAAAGAGTCACAGAGAAATTCAAGGTCAAGTTCAAAGCCAATATCAATACCAGAAATATGACAATGTAACGAGGAACGAGCAAAGGGTACTGAAAACAGAAAACTTAATAGGGCACTGAAAATAGGGCCAGAGGAGTTTAAATGTGACCCAGAAACATATGTGAACAGGAACACCACACTGATGTGGACCAATTAGAGTCAGAAGTAACATGATGCCCCCATTCCCTTTTTAAGAACGTGTTCCAAATGCGAACAGTGTTCTCCTTTCTAGAATTCCTCCTATGTGAAGATTTGTTACGTTCAACGTGCGTGGCCCATTCAGAGGCTCTTGATTGGCTCGAGGACCAGGTAAGTATCACTACACAGGTTTACTCAGTAAAAATTAAAGAGAAGTAACAAGAGAATTTAAAATTTTACACAGATGTAATGAAAACATAAGACAAAGTGACCGAATTGGAAATACTCCAGATGTTCTCAATTTTCATTTACCTTTCGCTTCTACTCGTGGTTTAGTAGATAACCCAGAGTTAAAATGTCAGCAATGTTCTTCTGATAAACTATCTTCCTGGATCTTTACAGATACTTGTACCCATTCCGAATATTCTGTTAGCGCACATTACAGCAGGTATCCTTTGCAATCCACCATTTTGATTTAAGAATCTTCTCTAGGATAAACTACAGGAGACACCTGTTTCATAAGAGACTCACTATTTCTCTTACCAATGGAGTGGACATTTAAATAGTACAACATTTAAAAAAGCAGCTGCATATTCAAAAGCCCTAGGTACTAAATGAGACAAAATGACATAATGAAGTTATATTCAATGATGCAGGAGTAACCAGTGAAAATGTCCTTACTTAAAAATTCTAACATCTATAGCGGTTTTGGAGGATATTTCACTGTGATTGTTTTTTTTTTTTAATCTATATTTTTATCATCATATTTTACAGCCTTGATGCATGCCCTGGTGTTTGGTAATGTTACAGCTATAATACAGAGAATGTATAACAGATGGTCACTGTATCACACAAGAACTAAAGATCTAAAAGATTTTATACGGGTACATCACCTGCCACAGCAATTAAAGCAAAGAATGCTTGAATATTTCCAGACCAATTGGTCAGTCAATAATGGGATTGATTCTCATGAGGTAAAAATAAATTGTATATATTATTGTCTTTTTTTGTTGTTGCATGAAACATCATTTTGTACACTAAAATGGCTTCTTGTTTACATAAAAATGTTGTATTTTTTAACATAATGTTTTTGGTTTTTACTTTTTTTTGTAACACCTGCTTTAAACCCCACTAGAATTTAGAGAGTAGGAGTGATGATAACTTAAAACTAAACAATGAGTTGTGATAACTGGCTTAACACTAATGTGCTGGAAGTTCTAAATGCATTAGCGTAAGGTTTAATGAAGTTATTTTAATTACCTTTTTGCTTACCTGTCCCCCACCCACTGCATCAAATAAGAGCCATGACCTTCTATGCTGATGGCCAATCCAATGCTCTTCATTAAGGACCATTGGGTTCCAGATGTGCATCTTTGGCAAGTTCTGCCCGTGCTGCAACTTTCTCTATAGGAGGCTGCAGTCATGTGATGGGTTTTATCCCTGTAGTGGCAGTTTTTATAATGGAACTAGAGGTGTGCATAACCCTGCAATGTAAACATTGTGGTTTCTCCAAAACTGCAATGTTTCACATTGCAAGGTTAAACATACAAGACCACAGCACCCAGGTCACTTCATTAAGATGAAGTGGCATGTGTGACTTTAGTGGTCCTTCAAACCAAAATAAAAACATGGCTGTCACTTTTTTGTAGCTCACTTTTTGCACCCACGGGCAGAATGAATTTGAGGGAGGTTCTTGTTGACTTAACTCCTGGTTCATCTCAACGTCCTCCAACTCTTTGGCTTTTCTGTAACCTAAACCACAAATTTTTCCAAGGTATTATCAATCCTTTATCATCTGCAGCATCTTCTAATAAAATTGTGTTGATCAATTTTTATGCATGCTAAATAAAATGTGAATATTTTTTATTGTGATATTGAAATACGATATGGAATTCATATCTAATACAAATGCTGATTGTGTTTTTATTTTTGTTTGTTTGTGCTGGCATATAGATGAGCACATTATAGCTAACTGCCAGGGTTGTTTGTCACTAACAGAAACAATTGAGAACTCGAAACTCACAATGAAGTACTTGTAAGTTGAGTTCTATTAATTTCCTTTTTTTTTTCCTTTGACAGCTTTTGAAAGATTTTCCAGATGAGCTGCGCTCAGATATTACCATGCACTTGAACAAGGAAATTCTACAACTTTCCCTTTTCGAGAGCGCTAGTCGCGGATGCCTCAGGTCTCTATCTCTGCATATCAAAACCTCCTTTTGTGCTCCCGGAGAGTACCTACTACGGCAGGGAGATGCATTGCAGGCAATTTATTTGGTGTGCTCAGGTTCTATGGAAGTTTTAAAAGACGGAATGGTCCTAGCTATTTTAGGTATGTTGCTCTGTGCAAGATATCCTGAAGGTATCTCATTTGGATGTTGTTACTTGTCATTGTTTGTTACTTTGAAGTAACAGTAATTAGTGTCCAGAATAATAGTAATTAGAAACTCAATCTGTATTCACAAGTTCAATCTGCATTTCTTTTAAATAAAATAAGTCAAATTACAAAGTGAATCCCAGTTTTAAAAATAGTAAACTGGTCTCTAAATACTCAAGTTAATAAAATGGATATATTTTCAATAATCTTAAAAGAGCAATCCAAATTTAAAATTCTATATTTTTTTTACTAAATAGGATGCATTATTATAAAAAATATTGTACATTAACAAAACATGCAAAATACCTTCTTTCTTTTTTTTTTTTTACTTTCTTTTTTTTTTTTAAGTCACACCTCTGCAATTAGTTCAAAGACTGAACATGAATGCAATAGCTTGGTTGCAAGATCATTTAGAAAAGGACAGACAAATAGACACTGGACAGACATTTATTGTTATTCTTAAAGGGCAATGGTCATCAAGTTTTTTTGAAAAGTTTATTGCATATAATGGATCTTAAAGATTTGCATAATTATATGTATTGATTTAAAAAAAAAAATTGTGAAAATGTCCCTTTCTTACCTGGCTGAGTAGTAATTTTGGGTCAGATTCTACTGCTGTTATCTGACCAACTGCTGCTCAACCAAACTTGTCTCCTGCTCTGATTACCTTGCGTGGACCTATAGCAACAGGCAAGTTAGACTGAACAGCAGTTGATTAGATAACAATAAAACCTGACTCAACATGGCTTCTCAGCCAGATAAAAAAGTGAAAATGTTATTTTATTAGTTTCAATAAATGTAATAAAAAGTTTTAATAAACTATTATTAGTTAACAGTTGTCCTTTAATAACAAAAATACTATTATTTAAATTAAAGTCAAAGAGAGTGTCTGGTATTGTGCTAAAATAGTCATTCTGAAAAAACATTTCCTAGAATTTTAAATTTACTTTTAAAGTTCACATTAGTGAATTCTGTGAATGGGCTTACCCTGCAGTCCTGGCTGCTTGATCAGCACACACACTGCTAAGGAAGTTATTTTTTAGATTGGTTGAGGTGTGGAATTGGTTGATGTATTCAGGCGTATAGGGGAGTATTTTGTTTGTTTTTGTTTTTGTTCTCAGCTTCAATTTAGTTTTTTTCATAAACTACGAAAAAACATTACAGAGAAAATAAGGTTGCTTGGGTGTTTGAATTAAAAACTACACATAAATCATCATCTTTATGACCAATTTTATTTTGGAAACATTACTTGGTTTCTAACAATAAATATTTTTATATAGAGTCCAAAACCAGGAATTTAAATGAAATAATATACAAAAACGTATTATACATTTGCATGGTATCAATTACACTGCTTGCGCTCAGTATCTGTATGTACGCTGTTGAATCCTCCAATAAGAAAATAGTTTGAACATAATCTTTAGCATTTATTCACTAAACAAAGAGTTGTCGATTTATTGATGATTTCAAGGAACAAATCAGTGAAATTCTTAAAAAAAATAATAATTTTTAGTAATCTATTGATTTTTTTAAAAGTAATTTTGTAGATATAGCCCCAATGGAAATATGCCTGTATTTTGTTCTGTATGTATTCCTAGGGGGCAGTATGAAAAAAACTGCTTGCAAAAGCTGCAGACTTGTTGTTGCCTTCGCAAACCCTTACCTTGCCCCCATTATATACTTTCAGTCTGTGTGTCAAGGAATACTCTAATCAGAGGCTTCTCATTGAGGTGGAAAAGAATTGTTGAGTCTTTATTGTTGAATAAAACACTGAAAAAAATTTTAAACCTTTTTTAATGGGATAGCCTG